CATAAATGACCAGATATTGAATTGTAACAAAATGTTTGACTACTGTACTAACAATATTAAAGGGATTATTTTTTTCAAGATTGAAAAAGAAAGACTGACAGAATTGCGCACCACTTTGAAAACATGTTTTGAGCTAAGTAGAACAATCCCTGGAACTAGGAGCTATCATCAATTTAAACCAGAATCTATAGATACTATTAGCTTTAAACGAACAAGTGAAGATGTTCATATAACAGGCATTTTTTCTTTTTCTGGTATTCAAAGTTTTCAAAATGATCAGCAAATTAACATTGATGCCTTGAAATTTGGTGAATTCATTATGTGTAAATATGATGCGTTTGATTGGATTGGTATGATCAATGAAGTTGATAATATAGAGCAAGATGTTATGGTAACATTTATGCACCCGCACGGTCCTTTTAATAAACTTTTCTGGCCATCTAGAGTAGATGAGTGTTGGGTTCCAATTACCAACATAACTTGTATAATTGATGCACCTGTAACAACAAATGGACGTTTGTATACTTTGACCGTCAATGCATCTAAGCTAATCTTAGCATTATCTTGACAATTTCTTTTTTTTGTATTTTATTTTGTAAATAATGAAGTAAAACGGAACAAGCATAAAGCAATAAAATATTTAAATACAATATTTTCAAAGTTATCTTAAATTTAAGACAAAAAAAATTTTTTTTTTTTTTGAGAAAATAAGTGGGGCATGGTCCCTGGTGCCCCAGCCCCATGGACCTTCTAGTTGTCTGACCTGAAACTATTTTAAAGCATGTTCATCAGGACTACACAAATGCTGAAAGTTTCAAAGCTCACGCTTGTCTGGAAGATACTGAAAAATCCATCTCAAGATTCCGGTCAAAAAAGTGGGGCACATCCCCCCAGCCCCCTCCCCTAGTGTCTTGGGCCCTTTTTCAATTTTAAAATGCACATTTATTGACACTACATAAATACCAAAATTTTCATCGTTCCAGCTAGTCTGAAAGGTAGTGAAAAATGTATGGCAAGATTCTGCTACAAAATAGTGGGGCCTGTGCCCTGTTAACCATATATGGAAATCCATATACTTGCAGATCAAAATTTTTATGTTTTCTGAAAGATCATTAAACATAGAATAATGTGTACAATTTTTTTTTTTTATATCATCAAGGCCACATGGCTTTCTTGAGCATCAAAACCAGGTATATAAAAAATTGCCTAAATTTATTTAATTTGATAATTACAAGTACTTAAAATTTTTTTTTTACATTTCTGATTATTTCATTGGATTTTTCGACCCTGAAAATAGCCAGGTACAAATTTTTAAGTTAAAAGATCAAATATTTTTAAAGCTATGTGACTTGGAACCTTTAAACAAAGGTCACACTTCTGAGGGGACAAGAGGGGCCTGGCCAAGATCAGTTAAAAGTAAAATGATCATATTTCATGATCCTCTTGGAGCTAGAAGCTAAAATTTTCAAGGATTTTTTGTTTTACTAAGTACTCTCAACTGTATAAAAATCAGCAAAATCTGAGATGTATGGTGACATTTTTGAAATTTTCTGGCTCAATTGACATGGAATTACCCAATAATGATCTTCATGAAAATTTTACATCTAAGTGGCTCTATTTGCTGATGACTCAACTTTATAGTCTTGTCTTAACTAAAGTCTTTTAGAACAAACTGATTTTTAATCTGATGTCTTTTCTGTAACAACTAAGTTTATTAAATTTATTGTTAAAAAACTAGCAAAAATCTTTTAATTTTTTTAATGTTTTAAATTCAAAATTATTTGAATCAGAGAATTTTTTAGGACTAAAATTATCTTGTTCAAATAGATTTCTTTTTTTAATCGACTTTCTAAAAACAATTTGCGTCTTTATGGGGCTGTCCATTAATCGCGTCAACAAAATAGGGGGGAGGGTTTGAATTTTTCTAACATGTGTTGAGAGGTCAAGACAAGTTGCAGTCAGCAATTAGGCAGCATTTGTAATCCTATGTTACACATTGGTCAAGGTTCAGTATTTTAATAAAATTATTTATAATCCTACTTTTTAAAAACCATGTCGCGTTTTAAAAAGACATGTCACATTCAGAACTAAATAAGCAAACACAAGATGTTTACTGGTAACACTAATACTTTTTCATAGTTGTTGTTGGTTAGTCTGCTGTGCAACAAAAAAAGATTTATGGAAGAAAGAAAAAAGATTTATGGAAGAAGGCATTTATTATTTTACTTTAATCTTTAAGAGATAAAAGTTACATTTTACAAAGTAAATTGTAACTTTTATCTTTTAAAAATAAAATTTTTTTTTTTCTGTTTTAAAAGTTTGCTAACCCCTGGTTTATGGAATTTGTTAAATGGATTTTTGTTATACTAAAATTTATTAGAAATAATTGGCTTTTACTGTGAAATTAGATCCAAGTTTAGATTAATTAGATCCAAGAAATTAGATCCAAGATTAGATCCAGTTTAGATCCAAAGTTAAATAGAAAAGGATTAGCACATTAACAGATAGTGACTCTGCACTAAACATAAATTATGATAAATATTTAACACTATCATCAAAATTAACTCATTTAGGGGAGAGAGGGGGTCATTGAATATTGAAGTAATTTTGGAAGTTTGACAAGCTGTTGACAAGAGGAAGGTAAAAATTGCCAAAAATTGTTAACGTAATCAATAAACAGAAAATGTTTAATTATGATATTGCTACAAATAAAATGAAAATATAAAAAAAAAAATGGAATTGCCTTTTTCATATTCTATTCAAAATTTCTTGTCAAAACAATTTTTAGTTATGAAATTATTATGTGTTAAGAACATATAAGATATAAAACTTTTGCAAGTAAATGTCTTTGAAAAGAAATTTTTATATATTTCAAAGAGTCTTTAATGTGCTGTTTAAAAATACATTTAATGCATTGTCTAAAAACAAGTAACAGTTGTATCATGTTAGATTATTTTTCTTTGATTATACGTTAAAATTGAAAAAAAAGTTATGTAAAATATTGTAATTAACATTATTTTATATTTTGTTTAAAAATATTTTATAACCCCTGTATAACTTCTGTATATAGATTTTGAATTTATATTTGTTTCAAACTTAACTAATTTTTTTATTTTTTTATTTAATTATCAAAACATTTATATTGTAAAACATAAAATAAAAAAAATGAAACAATAATGCTAAATAATACTATTCTAAATAGCAAAAGGTTTTAAAATTGTGTAATCAATAAACTCATCAAGTGCTACTTTTGATTTCTTTTTTTATGAGCTCTACTAAAAAAATCAAAAGTTGTGAATTTTGGTCAAATATTAAATATCTTCCAATTTAAACTCTTAAGATATTAGTAAAATCTAATTATAGGGAGTAGTGATTTCAATCTCTAGTTTGATCTACAAATGATCTACAACTCATAGAAAGTTCTTTTCACTTCACAGTACTGGTTTTGATATCACATATTGCATTATTACAAAAACATTTTTTTGACCTCAAAGTTTTTTTACAAACAAGTTTTTATTAACAAAGTACATATCATTAGTTACTATTTCAAACTATTCAAAATATATTTTCAAATAATATTTTCAAAATATTCTTAATTACTCAAGATGCATTTAAATTTTCGTTTTTTTTCTGGATGTTTCTTAGAATCATCTTCTGGATTTTGTTAAATATGATCACTATATAGAAAGATATATCAAAGAAAATAGCAGATATGCATTTATATAACTCTTTCCCACATAAATCAGACATGGTCTCATAGTAAAATCTTATACTGATAAACAAATAAAAAAATGGCCACTGTCATTATATGTTGTGTAATATGAGAGCAATTTTTGGATTTTTTTCAGCAACCCCACAGATCATAAATTTTTTAGGAGTAATTTTTGTTTGAAAATCAGTCTTATACTGTTTTATGAACTAGTTTCACTATGAAATGACTTCATATTTTGGTATTTTAATAACTGATATATTTTTATTTTAAAGTATTTTTATTTCTATTGGTTTGAAAAAAAAGTTTTAAGGAAACAAACATTGACACAATATGATGAATTTTCTTGTGTTGGGATTGCTAAAGATGTAAGCGAACTTAATTTAAAATTAATCAAATACAGAGTGCTCATTCTATTAATTTCCACACCCAAAAAATATTGGGTTATACTGCATATCCGATATACAGACCTATAAGCTATAACTTTAAGCTGTAGGCTTAAAGAACAAAAAAGTTACAAAGAAAAAAAAAAGTTAATAATATAAAAAAATGTATAAGTAGTTTCATAATTTTGTTTACTTATCATTAGTTTTTTTTTTCCTTCTCTTTTTGTATTTAGAATTGTTGCCCCTCCAATGCCCATGAATATACAAACCTTAAACTAATTACTAAGTATTTTAGTTTTTAAATTACATTGTATTTAGCAAATAAAACATAATTGCATTACATTGTATTTAGCAAATATATAACATAATTTCATTACATTGTATTTAGCAAATTTATAACATAATTGCATTACATTGTATTTAGCAAATATATAACATAGTTGCATTACGTAGTATTTAGCAAATATATAACATAATTGCATTACATTGTATTTAATAAATATATAACATAATTGTATTACATTTTTAGTAAACTAAAACTGCATTGTATTAATTTGTAATTGCATATTACATTGTATTTATGAAAATAAGTAATAAAAAGTTTTTTTTCAATTTTTAAACTGAATTTTTCAAACTTTTTTTTAACCTTAATTCTTAGTCTTTTTGATTCTTTTTTTGCTGGTGCTGATACCATTGGGTGTTGTTGATAATGGTTTTTGCTGGTAATGATGCTGATGGTTTTTTTTGATAATGGTTGTTGTTGATGATGATACTGAAGGTTGTTGTTGATAATGGTTGTTGATGATGATGCTGATGGTTGTTGTTGATAACGATTGTTGTTGATGATGATTCTGGAGGTTGTTGCTTCATCAAAGTTTTTGTACTATTTTGATTGTTTTTTTTAGGTCCCATGGTGTATTCAGTTTGCTATTGTCCGATAAGTATGATAAAGAAGTTATCAGATCTTGGTTTTGCAGGTTTGAATTTTCTTTTACAAAAGTGAAAAAATGTGTTTTTTCATTTTTCTAGGTTTAATTAATTTGGTTGATTTACAAAAGTGGACCAAAATTTTTTAGATTCAAAGACATTAACAGAAGAGAAGAGAGATAATCTTCTTTCTGTTATTGAAAACAACTGTGACTTTATTGGTTGGGCAATCAAAATAATATCCCCAACTGAAATATCAAATGAAATGCTTCGTAGGTATTAAACTTTTTACTGATTGTGTGTGACCAATGATTATAGGAATATTAGCTGAAAAACTTGAGTTATTTAATTACTAGTGAAGTTTTTGTAGAGAAAAGTTTTTTTCTATTGATAAAGTTATTTTCATTTTTCCTTGTTTTTTTTTCTCCAGAAATAAATTTTGATTTACTAGATATAAAGTGACATTAAATGAAATATCTCATGGAGCTGCAATTGAGCTTACAAGAAAGACAATTAATGCTGGTGCAAATATAACAGAGGTCAGTATTTATAAATATTTTATTGGTTTTTTAAAAATAGAACAATTAAAGTAATCTAAAAAGCTTTTAATTTTTGTGTATAATAATATTTTTAAAAGATAAATGGATAAATGAATTAAGAGTATAGCAATGAGAAGTTTTTTCTAAAAAAAAATATTTTTAGATTTTTTTTTTCATAATTTATTTTTCTTTTCTAATTTAGCTTTTTTATTTTGCAATTCTTAAAAATATAGAATATATGATTTTTCTGAGGTTTTTATTAATTGTCAATATAAATTTATTTTAATTTATTTAATTTAAATGCTAAATTTTACTTTTAAATAGAGGTACAATCATTTGCTCTCTTTTTATTAACTTAATATCAAAAACTAGTAAGTTAAGTATTTTTTTGTAAACTCAAAAAAATACTTAACTTATTAGGTATCAGGTTCTTTCAAGATTCTTCTAGATTTAAGTACTATTAAAAACTTAAATAAAAATGATTTTTTCATTTACTGGATTTTAAAGTTAATGTTTTCATTCAATTTTTTTAATCAAATTGTTATTAGGGAAATAGTCTGATCTGATAATGGAAAATTACTTGGTATGTTTATTAATAAACTTTCCTTTGATAATCATTTTAACAATTTATATAAATCAATCAAGTAGGTAATGCGCTCTCCAGACTTCTTTTATGTCTTTGAATCAAAAAAGATCTAAACTTTACGCTTTTATTACATCTCATTTTTTTTACTGTCTACTTGGTTGTTTCATAGCAGAACTTAACAATCTTTTTAATTTTTAACGTTTGCTTACAAAAATAAAAGATTTAATGAAAGATTGAATGAAAACTGCAGTGATGCTGGTAATACCCCATGATAGCAGGGGTCATTCATGAAAATAGTTAAAAAAAATTTTTTAGAAGATTTAGAATATAGTGCAAGTAAGGAGGAAAATTATATTTAAATCATAAACATTTTTAGTAATTAAAATTTTTTTTTTGAATGCGTCATTATTTTTTGTTTTTATAACATAAGTAGTCTAAAATATAGAAACAACCTATTGCAAACATTAGACAACTGAAATAAAAACTATGTTATAAAGTAATTAAATAAAAAAAAATAAGTTATACTAATTATGTTCATATTATTTTTTTAATATTTTTAATTTGAAATTTAAGCATTTACTAGGATTTGTAGTTATGAAAACATAATTCCACTTTTTAAACCAAATTTTTTTTCTCCAACTTTTTATTGCAAAATAATTTGATTAAAAAAATTGAATGAAAACATTAACTTTAAAACAAAGTAAATGAAAAAATTATTTTTACTTAAATTTTTAATAGTACGTAGATCTAGAAGAATCTTGAAAGAATGTGATACCTAATAAGTTAAGTATTTTTTTGAGTTTACAAAAAAATTAACTTACTTGTTTTTTAACTTAACTTACTTGTTTTTGTAAAGATATTAAGTTTAAAATTTTATAGTAATAATATTTTCATCAATTTTAAACTTTATTAATTTAAAACTTTATTAATTAGAATAATTCTTTAAACATTTTTTAAACTTGTTTTATATTTTTAATATTATAAACTGTAAAAACAACTGGCAAAACAACCTCACAGTATTGTTTTGTTGTTGTTTTACATAGCTCTTTGCAATGACAATTTAATACACTTTAAAAATAAAACATGTTTTATCGTCAGTATCAACATGGTATTAGAAGTTTTTTTTTTAACTGTTTAAGTGCTTTAAATATTGTAATATTTGCATTTTTACTTTTACTTTTTTAAGTTAAGTAAAAACAATTACTAAATGTAATAATCGTATTTACAGTGCTATTAGTTGTGCAAGTTTAAATTTTTTTTTTGTGTAGGATATATATATAAGATTCTTGTCAAAACTGAAAGGTTTTATGTCAAAATATTTTTCAGAAATTATGGATATTAGCATGAACAGCTCAAAATGAAAAATATTTCAGGAGATAATTAAGTGTATCATGCAAAATTGATTTAACAAAACATTTCAATCCATTACAACTGTTTGTCAAGAAATGGTGCAAACATAAGGACCGATACGAGTAGTTTCCATAGTGATTCCTAAACATTTATGTTTTGGTCAATACTGCTCATTCAATTTGAAGTCTGCCTTTTAGGTCAAAGGAGATGATTACTTTAAGTTTTATTGAGTTGTTTACAATTGCTTTTTAAGGGCATAGTATAGTCTTATTTTGATTTATTTTTGTGAAAACCAGTAGAAATAGACTTTTTTTAATTGTAGTTAAATTTTACTTATGTCTTGTCAACATGGTTTTTGAGAATTCTTATGTCTTATAATGATGGCAATGATTTTTCATTTGTCTATGTAAATATTATGTCTTGTAAAGAAATTAATGTTTTCTTAATGAATTGTTGTCATGTCTTTTCACATTTGAAACAGATATTTTTGCTTCAAAATTTTTTTTGTATTTACAAGTAATCTGCGATGCAGTATGGTATGCATTACTTTCTAATATAGCTGATAATTGTCTCTTTTATTATAGCTGATTATTGTCTCTTTTATTTTATTTCTAATATAGCTGATTATTGTCTCTTTTATTATAGCTGATTATTGTCTCTCTTATTATACAAAGAAAACATTTTTGTTTAACAAAACAACTAACTTAATGTATCAAAATAAACTCAATATTTACTTAAATATACTTAAATGTTTACTGAATTAGATACTTAAATATTTTTTTCATTTCTGAAATAAAAAAGTTAAAATAATAAACACTAAGTTTACAATTATTTAAAATATGTATACACCTGTGCACCCACTAAAATATGTATACACCTGTGCACCCACTAAAATATGTATACATATGTACATCCACTAAAATATGTATACACCTATACACCTACTAAAATGTGAATACATCTGTACACCCACTAAAATATGTATACACCTGTACACCCACTAAAATATGTATTTTTTTGTGGGACACTCTATTCCCCCACTTGCTATAAATTGTTTTGATCAGCACAATAGTTTTTTTTGCTGTAATAAAAATCTTTAATATATTGATAAAAATAAATTCAATATTTAAGTGATATCTTCATTTACATAAAAGGCAATATACAATGCAGTATACAATTTGAAACTGGCATTGTTCACAGCTTCCTGCGAATGTATTTACGATGTCATCTAGCTGGATTTCCTGTAATATATAAGCATTGCAGAAACAAAGGGTTCTTACTGCTTAAAATTACTTACTGCTTAAAATTTTTTTATCATTATTTATATTGTATAATTTTAAATTATACAATATAAATAATGATAAAATAAAGGTTTAAAATCATGTTTATAATATAATTAGAATATTTAGATGTATGTGGATACTGTAGGTGATGCTTCAAAATACCAAAATAAATTATCAGAAGTTTTTGATGGGGTATCTGTAAAGGTGACACCAAAAGCTGATGCCTTATTTCCAATAGTCAGTGCGGCTAGTATATGTGCAAAGGTATGAGCTCAAACCAAAAGAAAATATTGTTTAATTTTAAACAACATTTTATTAATTTTTTTTTTTGTGAAATACATTATAAGTTAAATATTAAAACTAAAAGTTGTTAAAACTACTTAAACTGTTACTTCATATAGATTAAAATATATTCTGGCTAATGTACAATAAAATATATTCTAACTAATTTCAGAAAGATTTAAATGAATTGTTTTAACGTATAAGACACAGAGTGTCAAACATCATATTAGTGTTTTTCTATTTGAATTTATGAATTAGGTTGCTAGAGATAGGTGTATCCAAGGTTGGCAGTTTCCTGAAGGAGATATAAAAGAGGATTACGGTTCTGGATATCCAGCAGGTACTGCACTCTTACTTTTATAAAAATTTAAATTTCTATGTTGAATTTAATCAGCCTTATCTTCTTCATACTTAAATTTATATTTAAATCAATATATAAAGATGTATGAAAATATGAAGTTTAAAGTTGTACTTAAGTATTTTTATTTAGTTATAATCTACTTATGTAGATTATTTGAAATTTCTGTATCAAGCTTAGCTTTTAAACTGTTATAGCACATAGAACATTTCATGGCAATGTGTTCCAAAGATTTTCTACTCAATTTGTAAAAACCTAATGCCTTTGCTCGCAATTGTGTGCGTATTCTTAATTTTGTCAATATCTACCTTTGAAGATTGATTGCTGGCTGCTACCTAGATAAGAGTATACAGACGTTGTGTATAAAATTTTAAGAAGTTGTCATGTGGCTGAATGTACGATACAACATACCTTGAACATGGTTGGCTTTATTGGTTGCATAGGCTTAATAATAATGCCATTTCAAATCTGGCATGATCATAAGGCTTAGATCACATTTGACTATAGTTGATGCAAGCTTCACGCTATTATATTTATTAGCTGGCATTGTGCATAATATACAGATGTGAAAAATACCACAATGTATACTGTAACAGCTATAAGTGTCTTTAGGTATTGTTTCTTCAGCTGGTGTTTTTCTTAATTTTCAAGGATCGTTGGCTTGGTAAAGTATGTTAAGGAATTTCTAAAAACAATAGCAAATAAAATTTTTTATTAAACAGAAATAAATAATAACTATTTTAATTGTTTATTTTTTATAATAAATGGCTATTTAAATTAAATTTCAGTTACCATTAGGGTAATTCCATGTTTAATCATCCGGGTCATGTCACCCCATGTTTGGGATTTTGCTAATTTTTTTATATGTTATCGGGTTTATGAAAATTAGGAAAATCTTAAATTCGAAACCTCCAACTCCTTATGGTTCTTGAGATATTCAGGTTTCAATTTATGTTGACTCTGTATTTTTTGCAAAATGCATTTTTGTCATTAAATAGCAATATTTTATGGAGTATCATTCTGAAATTTTGTACATAGACAATCTTCCATAAAGCGGATACAAATATCAAATTAAAATTTTTTTTACACCACGTTAAGTACATGTAAATTAAATAATGGCATTTATTTTGGGGTATTTTGACGGTCAAAATGGTGATGTCACCTTGATAGTTTTTTTTCAGCCATTACTAAAACTTACAATATAGGTATCAAACATCACTATTAATTAAAAATATATTATTGCATTTTTTGACTTTTCTAAATACAGTCTTTTAAGTAAAGCATATATTTTATTGCTAACTTATTTATGAAAAAGTTAGCTATATCTTAATTTCATGTTGTAAAAAGTTATTTTTGAAGTCATTTTGAGGGCAATAATAAATGTATTCTTTATTTCTAAATTTTTGATACCTGTGGTAGACTCTCTCTACCCCCCCCCCCCCCCACCCTTTAAAAAAAAAATCTAAATGCAGTAACATTTTTTTTGTCTTTTATAAAAAAGACTTTTTAATTCCTCATTATTATTTTATTGCTTCTGTTTAGATTTTATGTTGTAAATATTAGTTTTTTGTTACTTTGCTGGAATTTTATACCTACTTAACTAATTAATGAATGTTATGAATGATACTATACGATTGGTAAATAAAATAAAATTTAATTACCTTTTATCATATAGGAAAGTCATATGAACACATCCAAACAAATAAATTGTATAAATAGTTTTCCATAAACTAAATAATGTGAATGGTATACCTAAAAAAATTTATTTTGTAAAATATTTCAAAATCAGATTTTTTGAATAGATTAAAAAGTTTAAATTATGGAAAAGTGTTCTTTTGGATTAGAATGTAATTTTGACTGCCACAATTTTAACAAGAAGACAAGATCTTTTAGATCTATCAATGTTTTCAAGTGATGAAAAAAACGAGTTATTATAGAAAACTGGTTTATTTGATTGTGGAAAATTGTTTACAACAGTTTGCTATTATCATAGAGAATACTTTAGAGTTGCATTTGAAAGAAAATTTCAGAAATGCTGTAATCTATTTAAAAAAAACATGGAAACCGAAAGAAAAATGTGAAAGGCAATTTTTATATTATTTAGATAATTAGAATGATTGAAATAGTAATTAAATAAATTAAAGCAATATTAAGTATATTTATATACTAACAAATATACTTATTTGTTCTTTACAATGATGGTGAGTTGATATTAGTTTTTAGAAATGATTTTTTTCTTTTTTTTATAGGAAATGTGAAGATATCAATATCAATGGCAATAACTTTAAAAATATAAGACATTGCTGCTGTACCTGGGTGAAAATTATGCAGTATTTGTTACAAACGGGTACATAGTATAAATAAAGAATTAGAATCAAATGATCAATGCTATAGTAGGATTGAGTCTGAACAAGAACAACGTGCATATCTCAATGAAAGTCTTGAATCTATAGTGTCACCTATTAAGCTTAAATTAATTCCAAAACACCAACGATTAGCAGCTGCTTGTACACCACTAACTTCTTCAATTGATAACTAAATTGGTGATCTATACTCACTTTTAAATGAATTGAAAGATAAAATTACAATGTGACATCATACTCCGCAAAAATACAGATATTAACACTAACTCCAGAATCATGGTCTCTCGCAAAGCATGCAGATTTTTTTAAAGTATCTAATTACTTTATACGAGAAGCTAGAAAAGCCAAAAAAAAAACATGGAATTTTGCATAAACCATTATCAAAAAATGGAAAGTCGCTTTCCCACGAAACCATTGATCTTGTTCATAGCTTTTATCAAAGTGACGAGTACACACGATTGATGTCTGGAAAAAAAGATTTTGTCAGTATAAGGTACAAGCAACACATGCAAAAAAGACTAATATTGGTTAATTTAAAGGAACTTTATGTTGCATTTAAATCCAAACATTCTAATTTAAACATTGGGTTTTCGAAGTTTTGCAGTCTTCGCCCAAGATGGTGTATAACCACAAACTCGTCTGACACCCACAGTGTTTGTGTCTGTACCTATAATCAGAATGTTAAGTTGTTAACTGATGCTCTTAAAATTGACAAAGACTATAGAGATTTGATGGAAATGATTGTTTGCAATAGGGACAATGTAGAGTGCATGTTACATCGATGTCCGTTATGTCCTGGTATTACTGCTTTAAAAGAATTCTTAACAGAAAAGTTTGACAACAGCGATAAAGAAATAGCAATTAACTAATGGCGACATACAGATAGAACTACGCTGATCAATCAAAAAATCTATATTGAAGATATTATCGACCTTATATGCAATAAAATAGATAAATTAACATCTCATTCACTTATAGCTAAAAGTCAAGCCAAGTACCTTAAAGACTTTAAAGAGTTATTTAATCAAAATGAGTATATAGTATTGGGTGACTTTGCAGAGAACTTCCAATTTATTTTCAGGATGAGGTACAAAATTACTACTAGAATAAACCAAAATTTACACTTCACCCTATTATTATATACTATAAATCAAATGATAAACTGATATTTAAGTCACTTTGCTTCCTTTCTGATGACGCTGAGCATGAAGTATACTTTGTATATAAAATACAACAGCTCGTTACCAATTACATTAAGGCAAACATTCTACAAATTAGTAATATTAAATACTTCACTGATGGATGTGCAGCACAATATAAAAACTTTAAAAACTTTATTAATCTTTGCCATCACAAAGAAGACTTTGATATTGATGCTAAATGGGTCTTTTTTGCTACAAGCCATGGTAAGTCTGCTTGTGATGGCATTGGCGACACAGTAAAAATGAATAACTGCACAAGCTAGTTTAAAAAGAACAGATTTTAGATGTAGATAAGATGTTTGAATTTTGTGTAACCAATATAAAAAACATTCAGTTCCTTTTAGTTTATTAAATAGAAATAAACAAAGTACGATCATCATTGCAACCAAGGTTTACTATGGGAAGAACCTTGCCAGAAACAAGATGTTTTCATCATTTTATACCAACTGATAAATATACAATTTTTTTTAAAAGGATGAGTCAACAAACTCATGTTCAGACATTTAACCTTGTGCAGATACCAAATGAGCTGGTTGTGCAACAGGTTATTTATAATCAAATAGACTATTTAGCTTGCAAGTATGACAGCTTTTGGTGGATTGGAATTATAAACAAAAAACATGAAGGAGAAGGAGATTATAAAATACAATTTATGCATCCACATGGTCCCAGTCCAAGTTTTTCTTGGCCTGCACGAGAAGATATGTGTTGGGTCCCATCAAATTATATTTTATGTACCATTGATCCGCCATCTACAACAAATTGAGTTGGCAAAAATTATTAAACAAAATAACCAAGATTTAAAAAAAAAATTCTATTGTGTCATTATTTTTATACTTGTATGTCATTTTTTAAAATATAGTTAAAATATAATTGTATGTGTAATTAGCACAATTTGGCCACACAAAAAAAATTCTCCTAATAACTTGTCTTTATATATTTATAAAAATAACTTTTTTACAAATTTAGGAAAATATTACTTTTTTGTGAGGGGGGGGGGAAGGGTACCAAAAATTTAGAAATAAAGTATACATTTATTATTGCCCTCAAAATGACTTTAAAAATAACTTTTCACAGCATGAAATTAAGATATAGCTAATTTTTTCATAAATAAGTTAACAATAAATTTTATGTTGACTCAGCATTTATTTTATATAAGCTTTACTTAAAAGGCTGTATTTAAAAAAGTCAAAAAATATTGTAAGTTTTATTAATGCCTGAAAAAAAATTATCAAGGTGACATCACCATTTTGACCGTCAAAATACCCCAAAATAAATGCAATTATTATTTTATTTACTTGTACTTAAGGTGGTCTAAAAAAGTTTGATATTTGTATCCGCTATATGGAAGATTGTCTATGTACAAAATTTCAGAATGATACCTCATTTCGTGTCAGCATAAATATGAAAATTGAAATCTGAATATCTCAAGAACTGTAAGGAGTTGGAGGTTCCAAATTTCAGACTTTCCTAATTTTCATAAACCCCACAATATATAAAAAAATTAGCAAAATCCCAAACATAAGGTGACATTTTTTGATATTTTTGGATGATTTGACATGGAATAACCCATTATGAAATTATATTATAAACTGGGGTGTACCCTATAACTTCATAATGGTAACTGAAAAAATTTATTCAAAAACCTGACATCTTTTTTTCTTTATAATTTATACCACTACATGTTGTAGTTACATCATAAATAAAATATAAAATACTAAAATTAAAATGACAATACTAATAAATATTAAATATATGAAATATTTTAAATTACTACTTCATCTTTAACTGCTTTCTGTTTGTTAATTCTGTTAAAACAATTTTTTTATTTTGTTTAATATCTTGGTGCTTCTTTGACTTGAAATATTTTTAAAATAATGGCCTAATATTAAAATATTAAGCCATTATTTTCTTCATCATTTAATCTTCTAAACACATCTTTTAATGTAAGACACTCTTCTCCATAGACTCTTTATTTTTCTTGTTGGTCATTTATTTTATAAATAAACATCACCTTTTATAACCATTATATGTTCTTTCACTATTTCTATTATGTCTTTTTTTCAGAAAAGCAATCTGATATTGGTAGTTGGTTTTTTTTTCATTGTTTAAGTCTTTGTCTACAGGTACCATAATTTTTGGTTGATTTCTTAATTTTTCACTCTGATCATTAATATTGGTGTCTTGGTGTTGTGGCTGATGTTTTAAGGGGTTTTTATTATCATAATAATTTATTTTCTTAGACAAAAGATGTCCATTGATTTCAGGAGTTAATTTGTAAGGTGCTATAGCAGGTGGATCAAGGGGGAAAGTTCCAGATTTGGAATTTTCCCCTTTTGATAAAGGATGTATCATAAAAATGTTTTTAATAAAGATAAAAAAAATGGATTTCCCAATCACATACAAAAATTGTAACTAACTTTTTATACCTGATGATGTTAATTGATATTGATGAAACATGTCAAAAAGTTTAAAAAAAAATTGTTATTTATTTGAAAAATATATATATATATATATATGAAGGATAGTTAGTGATAATTAATCATAATTTCATAATGTTATAGAATAATTTTATGTTTTGATTAAAGAAAATTGTGTTGAAAAGCAGAGCTGAGTTTTGAAAAACTTACTGTTATTGTGGTATTATACAATTAAGGTTGTTTAACATCGGTTCAAGAACTAATGTTTTCTCAAAATGGAATGAGCGTGTTGCAAAAAAAGCTTGAAACTGGCTGTAATCGGGGTAGTTTGTTCTGGCCTAGAACTACATCAAATTATAAGATAAATTTATCTGTGTTCAAAGTAAAAGAAGTTTGTGCTACCAAAACAATCAATCTTTTTTATTAATCTTTTTTTAAATAAAATATTGTATTTTTATTGTTTGCATTTTGCAAATATTTATTTTAGAAAGCTTAGTTGTATTTTTATATTTTTATTTATTTTTATAACTTATTTTAGACCCAAAAACTAAACAATGGTTAAAAGACGTAGTGGATCCTGTGTTCGGTTTTCCGCAGTTTGTAAGGTTTAGCTGGTCAACTTGCGTCAATATTCTTGAAAAACATGCTTGTGAAGTTATGTGGTAATAAAGCTTCTATAAAGATCTATTTAAGTTAAAAATCTATTTAAGTTAAAATCTTTTAATGTAAATTTTTAATGTTTTATTCAGGGAAGATGATGAAGCTGAAGAAACAGATAAAAAAATTGTTCCAATAACAACTTTTTTTGCTCAAAAAAAGAATGCTACTAATATTTCTGTTAAACACTCAAAGTTTTTTTCAGAAAGAAAACTTGAGCAAGTTTGCGAGTTGTAACTAGAGATCGAATCAGTTTTTTTATATCAATAGTTTTAATTGTTGTAATGATGATGAAATATTTCTAACATGTATAAATATTTATTACAATGTTGCTATGTAACAGTTTACAATTTCTCTAAAAAAATCTGAAAAATACTGAAATCCCCAAGATGGTTTTTTAAGTATAATATCATAGACGGTGTTTCATTTAAGGCTAAGTGCACAAATATATGTACAGCCCTTGGAATTAGAAAAAAAGGTTTGCTAAAAATTACCTAAAACTGATTCACCTAAAAACACATCAGGTCGGTACTAAACTGGGGTTAGACATCAACATTAACTCTCAGAATTAGGGTCGCCATTCAGCAATGCCAACCTAACTGCCGACCTAAAAGTGTTTGAGGTCGGCAAAATATTGCCAACCTTGTTTCTATGTTTTATAGTTAAGTGATTGTTTCAATTTTTTTTTGCCAACCTAATGCCGACCTCAAACAGTTTGAGGCATTTTTTGGCAACACTTTGCCGACCTCATTTTTTCTAATTCCAGGAGTTTATATATATATATATATATATATATATATATATATATATATATATATATATATATATATATATATATATATATATATATATATATATATATATATATATATATATATACATACATATGTATATATATAAGGGTGCCCCAAAAAACAACATTTTTGAAAATAATCTGCTCCCACCCCCTAATATTTTCAAAAAAAAGTTTTTCAAAAGTATGACAACCTAGTACTCAAATGAAGCGAAATTATATAAACTTTTCGAAAATAATATTCATTTCGAAAAAAAATTTTATTTTTAATTTTACAACATAAAAAATTAGGTTTTTTAACAAAAAATAGAAAAAAATTATTTTTTATGTTTTTTTATTATAATTTAAATAAATAATTTAAAATGTTTTCAAAATTAATATTATTTTTGAAATTTTTATATAATTTTGCTTCATTTAAGTACCAGGTTGACATATTTTTGAAAAAGATTTTTTTTTTAAATATTAGGGAACCATTAAATATTCGAGGGTCTTGAGCGACCCCTTAAAATATTTTTTATTCAAAAAAATTTTAAATCTAGTGTTTTTGTATTAGATAGAACACATTTAGGGGGTGGCAGCAGATTATTTTCAAAAATGTTTTTTTTTGGGACACCCTAATATATATACATATGTATATATATATATATATATATATGTATATATATATATATATATATATATATATATATATATATATATATATATATATATATATATATATATATATATATATATATATATATATATATATATATACAAATAGTATTGCGTACTATTGTAAGCAACCTGATGTCATACTGAAATAGCCTGTTGGGGGCTTCAGTACATACATCGACTGACAAATAGCCTGACTTGCAGTGGAGTGCTGCTACATCGACTGAGGGTTTGGGATGGGGAAGCAATTGTTTCATTCATCATTCTTTGTTTTTTCTTCTTTATTTTCGAAAAAAACGGTATAGCTTAAGGTAAGCAGAAAAAGTGAGCAAATGCTTTAAATTACATACATGCTCCATCTAACCACCTTCCTAGTATACTAAAACAACTACCTAAAAATGTTGAACTGAGATTGTCCGGAAATTCTAGCAGCGAAGAAATGTTTAATAAATCTGTATCTGTTTATAATGAAGTACTACGAAACTCTGGTTATAAACATAATTTATCTTACCAAACAACTTGAAAAAAAACTTTAAAATAACAACAACCAACCTAACTTAAAACAAAAACAAGAGAAAAACCGTACACACAAAATAATATGGTGCAACCCTCCTTTTAGCATAAATATCACCACAAATATAGGAAAATGTTTTTTAAACTTGATCGTCAAACATTTTCCCATTAACAACAAACTACATAAAGTTTTTAACAAGAAGCACTGTAAGAATCAGCTACAGTTGCATGCCAAACATGAAATCAGTAATAAGTTTATACAACAAGCACATCCTAAACAAAAATCCTACCATTAATAAAGATAACTGCAACTGTTTTAATAAAAACAATTGTCCTATACTCAATAACTGCTTGATCAACATCATTGTATACCAAGCAACCATCGCTTTGGAGAACCCTTCAATAAAAAAATCATACATTGGTATTAGCAAAACACCTTTTAAACTGAGATAAGCTAACCATTTGAAATCATTTTATATCCCTAAGTATAGAAACGATACAGAGCTGTCAAAGGAGGTTCGGACCTTAAAAGATAGTAATAAAAATCCTGTGGTTAATTGGAAAATAATTAGAAGATGTGAAGCATATAACCTGACAACAAAACTGTGCAAATTATGCCTTAATAAAAAATATGAAATTATTTTAAACAATGACAACAGTTTATTAAATAAAACTCAAATTATATTGAAATATTGGCATAGAAATAAATTCCTTCTTTGTCAATTCGACAGGGTAATGGTAGACTTCATGTAATCAATTTTTTAACGTCAGATCTCATGTATGTATGTATATATGTATGTATGTATGTATGTATGTATGTATGTATGTATGTATGTATGTATGTATGTATGTATGTATGTATGTATGTATGTATGTATGTATGTATGTATGTATGTATGTATGTATGTATGTATATGTGTGTAAATTAAATAATTTTATTTGACTAAGTTCTTAAATAAGTATAAATTTTTGTACAGCTTTAGACTAAGTTCTGAATTGAATACAGTTTCTGTAAAGATTAATGTATACAATTAAAATTATTTTTTTTTATTCTACAAAATAAATCCTAAAGATTATTAGCTATGCAATGGTGGATATATGCAATTACTTGGTTTGTTATTTACCTTGACAAGTTAAATGCGGTATGTTACACTCCACCATGGAAATCGCCAAACAATGATTCCCTTCATATTACTAATTACACATACAGGTTTGTTAGTCTTTTTAGACTGTATTTCTATATTTCTATATTATTATAATTTTAATATTATTCTTAGTTTTATTATTAGTATTATTAGTTTTATCATTTTGTGTGTGTGTGTGTTATATAGTTTGAGGTATATTTGTCAGGTCAGGTTTTCCTGCTACTGGTAACATGTAACCCAGTACAACCTGCTCCATGTCCTGCTGCCTTGTAGGATACGCTTTTTTAGGCAAAGGCTAGGAGAAGTTAACTCCGAATTAAAACACCCCCTGCCTTGAGGCTCTTGGTTGAGTAAAGGCTAGAGATGGTGTCTCGATAAAAATACTCATCTTGGGCAGATGTTACATGCATCCAGCTGCTGTCTTGTAGAAGGCCTCCTAGGCAAAGACTTAAGGGGTAAACAGATTCTATCTGTTGACCAGCCTCGCACCCCTTCCTCATCTATTAGGCTGGCGCAGATGTATTTTTAATACATTGTTTCCAGTTTAGGATGTTGAACGCTGGATCTTCTTGACTCAATGCGTGGGTATTGCTTGTGTCTCTATTTTTATGACTGGGCAACTCATTCTATTATCTCCTAATGAGGGTACAGCTCTAAAACTCAGTTTTATGGTTCTGAGGCCGGCTGGTAGTCAGGTTTCCCGAACTCTGTGGTAGCTCTCAGAGAGGCTGATTCCATCAACAGCCGAAAAATATCAGAGTACTAACAGTGCCATGTTGCGCATGGATGGTGTCCCTGTTTGTACTTTTGGTGTGCATTGCAGAGGCCACATTTGGAGCCCTTTGTTACGGCTTAGGGTTTATTAATAGTAATGAGGCTATTGCTTAGTTGTTAAATAGTGTACTGAGTACTATCTATACTTGAGTCAAGTTCTTTATAAATTTAAAATGACTAAAGTACCTAAAACTAAAAAACACAAAAAACCATCGTCATCACCACTCTAAACCTATCATTTACTAATATTCGTGGTCTTCGAAGTAACTTTTCTTCTGTTGAGTCTTATCTCTTGCAAAGTTCACCAGACCTACTTGCTCTTTGTGAGACTAATTTGAGTTCGGCTGTCCCATCTTGTGATCTTAGTGTTGATGGTTATCTTCCTTTAATTCGTAAAGACTCCAATAATCACATGCTTGGCCTGGGCATCTACATTCGTAAGAACTCACCCATTTGTCGTGAAACTAGGTTTGAATCTACAGACTTTTCATTTATGTGCTTTCGTTTAGCACAACTTCACTCTATCGCCTTTCTCTTTGTTCTATATCGCTCTCCTTCATCCCAAGATTGCACTATTCTTGATGTTATTTCTGATCAAATTGACCAAGCCCTCTCTCTTTATCCATCGGCCAATATCGTTGTTGTTGGTGACTTTAATGCCCATCACACCGATTGGCTTGGCTCTGGTGTCAGTGACTCTGCTGGCGTTAAGGCCCTCAACTTTTGCCTTTCTCAATCTCTAACTCAAATAGTCAACTTTCCAACTCGTTTTCCAGACAACCCTAATCATTTACCTTCTCTACTCGACTTATGTCTTGTTTTGGATCCTAGTCAGTGCTCAATTTCTCCACATTCATTCTTAGGTACTTCTGATCACGGTTTGATCTCTCTAAAACTATTATCAAGTTCTTCTACTTCATCAGAATCCCCCTATCATCGTACCACATACAACTACCTTAAAGCTGACTGGGACTCTTTCCGTGATTTTCTTCGTGATGGCCCTTGGGTAGAAATCTTTCGTCTTCCTGCTGACAAATGTGCTTCTTACATAACTTCGTGGATTCAGGCTGGCATGGAATCTTTTATTCCCTCTCGACGATTCCAGGTCAAGCCTCACTCTTCTCCTTGGTTTTCCTCACATTGCGCTGCAGCAATTTCTAATCGAAACCGTTACTTTCATATCTATCAGCAAAACAATTCTCCAGAAAACAGACATCTGTTCACTATCGCCAGAAACCATTGTAAAAAGGTTTTGTCTGACGCCAAAGCTCACTATTCCCAGGTCATTAAATCTCGTATCTCATCACAAAAATTAGGCTCTCGAGACTTCTGGAGAATCTTTAACAGTATCAATAATAAGGGCAAATCTGTTATTCCCTCTCTCTTGTATGGTTCAGACTTTGTCACCTCACCTAAAGACAAAGGTGAATTGTTTGCTAAGAACTTTTCATCAATATCATCTCTTGATTCCACTAGTTGCGTTTTACCCGACATAGCCGTCAAACAGGTTGATCCCTTGCTTGACATTCGCATCACTTCAGCTTCTGTATCTAAAGTAATTTCCTGCTTAGACTCTTCAACAGCTTGTGGTCCTGACAACATTCCTGTTGTAGTCTTGCAGAGGTGTTCTCCGGAGCTTTCATCCATACTTTCTAAACTATTTAACAAGTGCTTATCAGAGTCTTGTTTTCCATCATGCTGGAAAGCAGCATCTGTTATCCATATTTTCAAAAATTCCGGAGAGCGATCTGATTCATCTAACTACCGTCCCATTAGTCTTCTTCCTGTCATAAGCAAGGTTTTTGAATCTTTAATCAACAAACACTTAATCTCTCATCTTGAATCAAATAACTTACTTTCTGATCATCAATATGGATTTCGGTCTGCTCGTTCTACAGCTGATGTGCTAACAGTAATAACCGATAGGTTTTACCGTGCATTAGATAGAGGTGGAGAGGTTAAGGCTATCGCACTTGACATTTCTAAAGCTTTTGATAAAGTTTGGCATGCTGGTCTTCTCCATAAGCTTTCTTCTTATGGTGTAGCTGGTAACATCTTTAAGATTATTGAGTCCTTTCTTTCCAATGGTAGTATAAAAGTTGTCCTCGATGGACAACACTCTTCTTCACATCCTGTAACTTCAGGGGTTCCTCAAGGTTCAATCCTTGGCCCTATACTCTTTTTAATTTACATTAACGATCTTCCAGATATTCTCACATCTAAGGTGGCATTATTCGCTGACGACACTACCATTTACTCTTGTCATGATAAGAAGCCTACACTCTCTGATTGCTTGGAGGGGGTATCTGAGCTTGAAAAGGATCTCACTTCTGCTACAGCATGGGGCTCACAGTGGCTGGTGAACTTTAATTCAGATAAAACTCAATTTTATTCGGCCAATCGTTATCGTAATAATTTAGATCTTCCTATATTTATGAATGGTAATGTACTAGATGAGTCATCTACCATTCATCTTCTAGGATTAACTCTTACTTCTGATCTTTCTTTTAAACCGTATATCAAATCCATTGCAAAATTAGCATCTGCTAAGGTTGCATCTCTTTATCGAGCTCGACACTTTCTTACTCCAGATTCTATTCTCTATCTCTATAAATCTCAAATCCGTCCCTGTATGGAATACTGTTGCCACATCTGGGGCGGATCTTCTAATGATGCTCTTTCTCTATTAGACAAGGTGCAAAAACGAATTGTAAACATAGTTGGACCTGCTCTAGCAGTCAATCTCCAACCTTTGTCACATCGTCGTAATGTTGCTTCTCCTTCTCTTTTCTACAAATACTATAATGGGCACTGCTCTAAAGAGCTAGCGTCCCTTGTTCCATCTACTAAAATTCATTCTCGTGTTACTCGCCATTCAATTAAGTCTCATCCTTTTTCTGTGACTGTTCCTAAGTGCTTCAAAAACTCTTATTCGTCTAGTTTTTTTCCTCGAACATCAGTTCTTTGGAATTCGCTTCCTTCATCTTGCTTTCCTGATTCATATAATTTGCAATCTTTTAAGTCATCAGTCAATCGTTATCAGATTTAGTCTTTTCTCTTCCAGTAACTTCCAACTCTTATAGTGGTTGCTTGCAGCCTTGTTGAAAGTGAAGATGTTAAAAAAAAAAAAAAAAAAAAAAAAAAGGTGCCTTAGTTACTGTTTTAGCTCACCTATAATCTACTTTATATATATATATATGTATTGTTAAACTCTGAACCCGTAAGTTGCTATCTGTATTTTTGTGTTCTGTCTCTTTATGTTTATATGTATGTTTGTGTTCTGTCTGAACCCTGGCGTGATGTTTACTCACTCATAAGTTACTTTATGTATGTATGTGTTCTGTTTAAATGTTTCTGTTTTGATGCAATGTGAGCTCATCAACTAACTAGACACTCCAACTATACAACTTATGCTCACCCTTATCTCTAGTACTTTGTTGGGTGTAATATTTTTCCTAATGCATTTTTGAAATATCATGCTCGATGTTTTGAGGTGCTCGATGTTTTGAGGAAATAGCTCCTTTTAATTACTCCAAGTAAGGTCAGGTTCAGAATAATCTCGATCACCCTGGTACTGGTATTATGTAACCCAGTAGCAGGGTGCGCCATGCCCCGCTGCTTTGTAGTGTGTGTTTTTTCAGGCAAAGGGTAGGAGAAACAAACTCTGACTTAAAAATCACCTGCCTTGAGGCTCTTGGGTAAGTAGCTTCAAACCCCTTCTTATCAGGCTGGCGTAGATGTAAACCTGTGTTATATTGTTTCCTGCCTAGGATGATGAATGCTGGATCTTCTTGACTTTTCTCATAAGTTTTTTCTTGTGCCTCCATAGTGGCAATGCAACTCTTCCTGTTATCTCCTAATGAGTGTACACCTATCTAAAACCCAGTTTAATGGTTCTGAGGCCGGCTGGTAGTAAGGTTTTATTGAGCTCTGTGGTAGCTCTTAGAAAGGCTGATTCCATCAACAGCTGCAAAATATCAGAGAATTGACAGTGCCATGGTGCACATGGATGGTGTTCCTGTTAATGCTTTTGATGCAAATTTTTGAGGCCTCATAGGGAGTTCTATGTTACGTCTTAGGGTTAATTAACAGGACTGAGTAAATTGCTTAGCTCATTGCTTGGGAGTCAAGTTCTCTTTAAACTTAAATATGCCAAAAGTAAATAAAAATATTAAACATAAAAAACCATCCCAGGGCTTGAATTAATGCAAAAAAATCTAATCGCGAAAATTTTTTTTACACACATCTCCATCCCCCCCTGCCCCATATACCTTGCGCCGCTTTGCGGTAT